CCCAAACTAACTTGTTTTTGGCCACTCGGTCCGCGGCCCTTTGGCTGCATTAAAACATGGTTTGTTGGAGGCCGCACCGCCAAAAAACTTGATTGATTTTGTTAATGGTTTTTGTCATCGTTTATTTATGGCAGGGTGCATGGCTAAGGAAAAGCTGCAGCAATCTCAAAAGAAAATGAAGTATGTGTCTGATCTTTCGTTCGGAGTTACATGGGTTTAGTCCAGGAGATCAGGTCCTTGCTCTTACACCTGTTGTGACGTCTCCGTTTGAGGCTAAATTCACTGGTCCATATACTGTTACGGAAAAGGTGACTGATTTGAACTATTTGATTGCGACACCGGGCAGAAGAAAGTCTACACAACTCTGTCATGTAAACCTGTTAAAGCCTTATTATCAGCGTGCCCCGGTCGTAGAGGCCCATGGGGGGGATGGCTCCGTGCGTCCTGCGCTGGCCGTTGATACTGTGGTTTTAGCGCCGGAGGATAGTATCCCGGAGCCGGATGAGAGCTTGTTGTGTGGCCGTTTGAAGAACTTAGAGTCGTTGGGCAAACTGCACGCATTACTGTCTCATCTGTCCGAGATGCAGCGTTGTGAGATGTCCCGATTGATAGAGAGTTATCCTCAGTTGTTTGGCGATATCCCTTCTCGAACCACGTGGATGGAGCATGATATTGATGTCGGTGATGCTCAGCCAATAAAACAAAGGTTTTACCGTGTGGCTCCCGAGAAACAAAAGAACCTGGATAAGGAGATTGATTACATGCTCAAAAATAATATTGCAGGTCCGTCTGGTTCGAGTTGGGCTTCACCGTGCATTCTGGTGCCGAAGGCTGATGGCACGCCTCGTTTTTGCACTGACATGCGTGAGGTTAATTCAGTGACAAAATCTGATTCTTTTCCGTTGCCCAGAATGGATGACTGTATTGACCGCGTAGGTTCAGCCAAATTTGTGTCTAAATTCGATCTATTAAAAGGCTACTGGCAGGTGCCATTGTCCAAACGTGCGCAGGAAATTGCGGCCTTTGTAACACCTTCTGGCCTTTATTCCTACACTGTTATGCCCTTTGGTCTAAAGAACGCTCCGGCCACGTTTCAGCGGCTAATGAATAGAGTTGTTGCTGGCTTGGAGGGGTGCTCTGTGTACCTGGACGATTTGGTCGTGTATAGTGACACTTGGCACTCTCATCTTCGGCGCATACGATTTTTGTTTGAGCGTCTGGCAGAGGCGCATCTCACCGTGAACTTAGCGAAATGCGAGTTTGCCAGAGCTACGGTGACATATCCCGGACGAGCCCCCAATTTGTCATAACCTGGCTCAAGGCCATGACAAATGTGGACGCAGACACCGTAAATGGATACTTCAAGGGTGTTTATTAAACAAAGATTAACCCAAAGTACCAAAGTAACAATAATAATGAGGTGTGACTGTCTGTATCAGTGGTGTATGCGAGTGAATGGTTGTGTGTTCGTATGGTGCGATGTGAAGTGTGATGCAGAACAAAACCATAACGGGAACAGAAAACAAAGTGGTGTGGCACAGGACGCAGGCTGAGAGAGAGAGAGACTGTCAGCAGGCCGGTCCATAAATAGGCGTGGCGCGTCGGGCCCTGACGCACCACGCTCCAAGGTCCGCCCACAGCTCCACCTGTGCAGAGGTAGACAGCAGTACAGAGCACGACCACAGAGAGGAGGAAGGGGTCGTGCCTTAACCCCGGCTGATAGTGCTGTGAGTGAGTGGTGTGCTCCTGAGCCCGCTCGGCACACATTATTATAAAAATAAAAAATACAAAAAAATATCAAAATATATAAAAAAACGAAAAAATCTTTATTTTAACACTTGTAACGAGCTGATTCTCTTAGGGAGAATCCCCTTCTTTATGTGGGGGGGTGTCACGACCCCATAATGTGTGTAGTTTAATTCATCTTTTGTATTAAAGTAAGCTGTAGTTAATTTTCATGTATATTTAAAATGAAAATGAAATATTATCTCTTATGTTGCAGCAAACGACAAACCAGCGTTCAGAATTTTTTCCCAAAGAGGCATGGGACTGATGAATGTACACCCCAAATGGCTGCTGAATTGACTGACGGTGTCCTGGAGATGATTGTTGTGGACATGAGGCCATTAAATATGGTAGATGGGGAAGGGTTTAAAACAATGAGGAAGACAGCAATGACAATAATGATGCTGAAGTGGTCAGAAATGAGTTACTGTCTTATTTCGGAGAATCCCCCATTTCCAAGGATGAAAACCCATTAAAATGGTGGAAAGAAAATGAGGCAAGGTTTCCAAATCTGGCAATGCAGGCTCTGTCTTACCTCTCTGTTCCAGCCACATCGACCCCTTCTGAGCGACTATTTTCAGCTGCTGGGAATATTGTAAACAAGAAAAGAACCAGCCTCACGCCAGAGCATGTAGACATGCTAACCTTTCTTCATTACAACTGTTAGACTGGAATGAGTGGAATTAGTTATTGTGTGTTGGACTAGATGTTTATTTTAAAAGCAATACTTTTACTTTTATTCAAATGTTTACAGTGAGTGAGTGTTCCAGAATATTTTCATTTGCACTTTGTTTTGTGCTGGTTATTTCTTTTTTATTTTGCACATTTTAAAGCAAATAAGCTATACTTTTATTCAAATGTTTACAGTGAGTGTTCCAGAATTATTTGATTTGCACATTTTATAGGCTACTGAGTTGCCCATTGAGCCATAATTTTATTTGGTTAAATAAAAGCCATGCCATTTGAAAATACTGGCCTACGTCAACTTTTTCCCCTTCATTTTAAATGAAAAAATAAATCGGTAAAAGGAAAAATAATCTATAGATTAATCGAAAAAATAATCTATAGATTAATCGATAGAAAAATAATCGTTAGCTGCAGCCTTATTATTGACTGACTACTTTTGGACCAAACACAGTATACTATATTATTATTATATTATATTGCCATGGGATGTACAAGAATAGAAATAGTAGTCCTTTTACCTTTTTTGTGCACAGCAACTGCCTCATGATGCACCACCTGTAAATAATATACATTTGTATATCACTATACCAGGAGAATATATACAAAAATAATATGTACAATGGTATGAGGAGGAATTATCTTTACCTCTGCTCCTTGCCCTGTCAACACCAATGGGGGAGGGCTCTTTTATCAGAATCTGTGAATGGAGAACACATTTCATTTAGTCAGAGCTATGACACTACAACAAGATGTTTAAGTATGAAATAACTAACCATAAAAATAATAAATACAACAATTATAAAACGCGTTTACTAGAGAAACAGGATTTGAGCGCTGTGTTACTTAGCAGATCAAAGCAAGTTTCCGCGCCTTTCCCTCCTCTCAAGTTAGCATATTCTAGGCAATTTAGCAAGTTCTTACCTTCGACTCTTTGTGGAGCTTCTGGAGAGGATGCTCTGCTGGATTGAGACTGCAACCACTCATCCGATAAATCATGATCAGGTTCGCTGAACTAATCCGAGGCATCAGTAACAGCAGCAGCTGATACGCTGCGAGAGGCGGAAGGTGTGTCCCTGCTCCGGGCTCTTGCTCCGCGCAAATGTGGCTGCAGAGACGGACCTCCACCGGGGTCTCCACTCTCTCCCCTCTCGACCTCACTCACTGATCCGCGAGTCAATCTCTGAAGCAGTGTCAACTGCTTATAACTATTCTTTTTCGCCATCACTCTTGCTATACTATCGCTAAACTAGATCGCTAATCTGTCTCAATGCTACGCTATCATCGCTCGCTCTGCTACAGCACCACGCTCTCCAAACACTCCCACACTCCTCCTTCTCTCCACTGACTTATGACCTCTCCTGTGGCGCAATACTGCATCCTACTGGTGTTGATTTATCATTACAGGTACATTTGCACAATATCAGTATTGTGGGTCATTCACAAGGTGCGCGAGACATTACTATAGCCTCCCTTGTAATAACATGAAAAACTCGTCATGGGCAGTGAGCGTTACAATTCAATATGACGAGTTTTGTCGTCATGAGCAGTGAATGAGTTAAAAAGCACACTTGCCCTAGCGTTTGCGCGTGCCCGTGGGAGTGCAAGGGTGTCCCAATACTTAGGGAGAAGAGGCGAGGGCCTTCACACCCCTAAAAACCACCCTTGAGCGCAAGTGAGGTCCGGAGCTCACTTGCGAGCGAGGGTGATCCCATGATGCATTACGATAGCTGTTGCTGAAGTAGCTGTGAGGCAAAGCCGCGGCACAATGAAAGAAAACAACATGAAACACCCGCGCACAAGTTTGTGTGGAACGGGAGGAAGCTCCGAGGCGTGTGCGAGTCATTCAGAGTTTTTAATGAATGCGTCGGTGCCGTGTGCAGTGACGTTCACTCCTGAAGCGGCCGCAGCGTGTGGCGTGAGGCTTCAGAGATGTGGGTCCATGTTATTATTATAGATCCATAATGTAGTTCAGAGCATCGCTTTGACACAGTTTGCTTTGTGATCCGCGGGACCGCGGCTGTAGCCGTCTGTGTCTGTGTGGTACGTGTATGTAGATGTGACTGTCTGTGTGGTACGTCTCTGTGCGCGTACGTGTATGTGCATGTGTCTGTCTGTGTGGTACGTCTCTGTGCGCGTATGTACATGCGTCTGTCTTTGTGTGTCTGCCTCTATGTGTGTACATGTGTGTCTGTGTGCGTGATGTGCGGCAGTTCTGTACCTAATTATAGCAAAACTTCATATGAAATAGAATTAAAAACTTCTCATTTTCATAAATACTGTGTTTCATAAAGTCATGTCTGTGTCAAGGCTTATCTGAGGTGAAATCAGACACTTTGATGTGTGTGACGTGGAACACGTCTGCTGCGTCATTTGCATATTGTCCCCTAGATCCAGGGGTGTCCCAATTCTTAGAGAGAATGTTGTGAGTGCACTCCCCACTGGGAAGGCACTTTACTGGTGAGGGTACTCACACCTAAGGGCAAGGGTGAGAATTGGGACTGGGCCTTATATGATGAGTGGGGTCTTACTTGGGCAGATAAACCTCCACCTTCTGGCGCTTGACATTGTTGGCCCACTCCTCCAGCAGAGGGGCTTTGATGATGGGCTCCAGTGTGGCCAGAGGCACCTCCTGTCGTGGCAGGACGATCATCATGGACATGTCCTCTCCAGCATACGGCATCTCCAGCACCTGGTACACTCCCCCGGCCTCCTGTGAGCCGTCACTAAACTCACCTAGGGCAATGATACACCAAGACACACCATTTAAGAAAACCTCAATAAATTGTTGAAATATGATATGTTTATATCCATTTTCAATTTGCACATTTTAAATACATCCCTGAACTAGAAATTTAATTCCACATGAGATCAGGGAGACATTGGTTACATTAGGCTCCGTCTCATTAAACCACCATTGACTTATTAATTCTGATCAGTGATATTGAACTCCTTTCTTGGAAATTGCTTATAGCAATAGTGCATAGAGCACATGAGCGCCAAGATATCCAAAGCAGGAGTCAGTGGGCCGGTTTTGTATGTACTGTAGTTCTAGATTAATATGAAAGTATATTTACAAAGATCAACATATAGGCACAATATGTCAGCTACCAATTGTGCAATTTCTCCCACTTAAAAAGATGAAGGAGGCCTGATTGTATTTGCAAAATATGGTGGAAAATAAGTATTCGGTCAATAACAAAAGTTCATCTCAATACTTTGTTATTCACCCTTTGTTGGCAATGACAGAGCTCAAACCTTTTCTGTAAGTCTTCACAAGGGGTTCACACACTTTTGCTGGTATTTTGGCCCATTCCTCCATGCAGATCTTTCATAGAGCAGTGATATTTTGGGGCTGTCGCTGGGCAACACGGGCATTCAACTCCCTCCAAAGATGGTCTATGGTGTTGAGATCTGGAGACTGGCTAAGCCACTCCAGGACCTTAAAATGCTTCTTACAAAGCTACTCCTTTGTTGCCCGGGCTGTGTTTGGGATCATTGTCGTGCTGAAAGACCCAGCCTTTGTTTCATCTTCAATGCCCTTGCTGTTGGAAGGGGGTTTTCACTCAAAAATGTCACGATACATGGCCCCATTCACCCCACAGAGTGAGATCTTGCATGGAGCCCCAGATTGAGGGGATTATCAGTGGTCTTGCATGTCTTCCAATTTCTAATAATTGGTCCCACAGTTGATTTCTTCACACCAACCTTTTGAAGATTCAGTTTTCCCAGCCTGGTGCAGGTCTAGAATTTTCTCTCTGGTGTCCTTTGACAGCTCTTTGACCTTGGACATTGTGGTGTTTGGAGTGTGACTGTTTTAGGTGCTGATAACGGTGCCATTAATCACGGCTGACAAGTGGAGGATAGAGCAGCCTCTTAAAGACAAAGTTACAGCACTGTGTTTGTAGGTGACCAAATACTTATTTTCATCATTATTTGCAAATAAATCCTTTAAAAACCAGACAAAGTGATTTTCATGCTGTCCCTCATAGTTGAGGTATACCAATGATGAAAATTACAGGCCTCCCTCTTCAACGTGTTACGGGCAAGCCCCGGTGATCCAAGATGGCGTCCTATTCAAATGAATGGCTTGTGCTCAGTAGTGCATGGGACATACACAGGGGCCGAAAGATTTGTGGAACTCGCTATATTTGGGCATTGTCTGGTTCTCCCGGTTCTGCGCAGTGGACGAGCTCCCATGAAGCGTTGCGCTAAATACGTGTGTGTGGCTCTCATGCACAAAGGGGCTCGGCCACGCTTTGACCAATCAGCGCTTCTGATTAGAGCAGAGTTAGAGCAGAGTCAGAGCGGGAAGGAAGCGAGGAAACAAGTTTGTGGCAGTAAAGTGTGGATTTTAAGAAAACTGAAGGATTTAAGAAGAAAAAAAGAGTTCAAGATGACAAGGGACACTAAAATCTCCACAATATCCGACCTTTATGAAAGCTGTAGGTTCTCTGTCAGCTGAGGTTGAGCTGTTTTAGTTTACATTGAGTTCTATGGGAATTTTTCCTGGGTAGCCCACGTGAATTTAGTCTGCAGTACCACGGGCGCCCCCTGTGCCCATTGGTGGGACAGCTATTAGCTAGTAATACCCTATCCAGTTATCATTATAGATCCATGGTTGCGGGGCCTAATATGTCAATAACTAGCAAACCGGAGAAATTTGATTGAATGTTGCATATTCTTACAACTGTGTGGCAAACAATTACAGCTAGATGACTGACTCTGGAGGGAAAAGTGGGAAAAAAATGGTATTTTAATACATATTCTTAGTGAAAAAACAGAAATTTCTTCAAACTTAAGGAGAGGCAAAGAGTTGCATTCTCATGTTTAACACCCCCGTTTAATTTGTCTCTCGTGACGCATTATTGGATTTTTTGACCATCTTTACTTATCTGTTGTTTATTTATCGTTACTGTAAATTTTATTTCATGAATATTTTTTGTATAGATGCCAAGTCTATCTCTCTAACTGCAAAAATAATCTACGCATGGGTGCAAATAAAGTTACCTTTAACCTTATGAGCCATGGCGAGGTCCAATGCCAGCGTTGTAGACAATGAACATTTGTTTAACAGACTGTCTGCCGGTAAACAGAGCGGAAATTCATGCTGAAATCAAGGTTGTGGGGCAAGCGAAAAAGGCAGCGGGGCACCGCGCCTTGCTAAAACCTGTAATGGGGAACACTCTGACTTTGCCTGTAATAAGTACATGATATACAATGAAAAATGTATAATAGTGTTAAAAAGTTTGTTTTTCACCTGTACAACAGACCACAAACCTCCTTCATTAATACAACAATTTGCTTGTAGCTTGGTGAATAATTGAGGGATTTTCTACTAACAAGGAGTCATCAAAAGAACCACCTCCCTCTTCGGTGACCTTTACACTCCAGTTAACAGTTACTCAGTGATTTTCTTTTATTTGGACTAAATGTTACTCAGCTTCCACACAGCGTCCCTTTCTCATCTCAGTTTACCGAGTCATTATGATTTATGATTTGATTTATTCGAGCTTACATATTTACAATGTCTTTTAACTCATTGTGTCCCATTGACGCATTAATACGTCAAATGCCTTTTTCGCTATTTTCACGTTCCCAGATGTCTATTGTATCTAATATGTATGGGGATGACTTGAGACCATATTTTATCGAGCCAGCAGGTGGCAGCATTGCTCTCTGAATGGTTTGAAAACATGTAGGTGCACATGTTGTGCCTCTTTTTTCTCAACTTTCTGGTGATTTCTGGTGATTTCAGTAAAACTTCCCTCTACTCAACGGAGGATTACAGGGGAACGAAAAAAGCTATAAACAAAATTCTTTTTGCTGAGGAAAGTAGACAGTCCATTCTTTTAGAATCTGGTGTCGGATTTCAGATAGTCATAGTACACAATATTCTGTGGGTCTTGAAAAATCAGTAAAAATCATCATAAATGGCTGGCACTGTGGGAGTACCTGTTCTGAAATAGGCTGGCATTCAACATGTGCATGCGTTGTTATATGCATTTACATTAAACAGAAATACATGTTACATAAAATGTCAAAAATTTAAACAAAGCTTGAAAAGGGAGTGAGAAGAAGCAAACGTATGTACTCCCACCCCCTCTGATTACAAACATAAGCAGTTGCGATATTTTATATAAACATACATTTACACAACACTGTTAATCAATTACAAGAATGTGGCACCTGAATTCAGAACTACCTAATTATAGCACGAAATGCATTCAATTTGATCAGAAAAATAAGTAAAGCATTAATTAATTCAAAATGTCATAATAAATAGACAGATTCTTATTAGGGTCAATTTATAGAATTGCCCTTTTCTTCCATTCTATATTTTGAAAACACAAATTCTCTGTCATTTGTTTTGAATTGATTCACTGTTGCGCATTGCTTGAGCTGTTGTCCCAGTCCATTCCAAACTTGAACTCCACAAACAGAAACAAAAATGTTTGTGATAGATGGTGGCAGGGTTCATGAATTTGGCTGAGAGGTAAAGTTAAGTGTTGTCTGTGTAGCTGTGGAATGTGACACTGTGGTGTTGAATGATGTGGCCAAGGGGGAGCATGTAAAGAATGAAAAGGAGGGGACCAAGCAAAGAGCCTTGATGTACTCCGTGGTTGACCGGGATGCAGCAGGATGAGCAGTTGCTTATGACAATGTAGTGAGATCAGTTGGAGAGGTAGGATGAAAAGCAAAAGAGTGCAGAGCCGGTGATGCCATTGGTGAACTAAAGACGGTGGAGGAGGACGGAGTGGTCAATAGTGTCGAAGGCGGCTGAGAGGTCAAGGAGTAGCAGGATGGAGAGGGAGCCAGAATCTGAGGTAGGGAGGTAGTTGGTGACTCTGATCAGTGCTGTTTCTGTGCTGTGGTGGGAAAGGAATCCGGATTGAAATTTGTCAAAGAGAGACTTGGAGTTGAGATGGTTTTTGAGTTTAGCAGCGACAGACCGTTCGAGAATTTTTGACTGAAAGGAAGGTTGGAGATGGGGCGAAAGTTGTTGGGGTCGTCTGGATCCAGGTTTGGTTTTTTGAGGATGGGTGTGATGGTACGGTACCAGAGGTGAGAGGGGAGTTGATTATTTCTAAAATGTGGGCTGAGAGACAGGGGGCATGATTTGACAAAAGAGGAAGGGGTTAGTGAATACATTTTGGAGATCTGGTTCTGAGATAGGTGACAGGTGGGAATTGAGGTTGCGAAATGAGAGAGTGCGGGTTTACTTAATGTGGGGGTTGGGGATATTGTTGTGAAATGATAGGGCCAGGTGATCTGATATTGCAAGGTCTGTATGAGAGTGTGAGTTAATGTGTAGGCCAGTGGAGCAGATCAGGTCCAAAATGTGTCCGCAGGAGAGGGTGGGAAATTCGACGTGTTGTGTGAAATTTAAATTTTGCAAGATGTCCAGGAAGTCTGTGTTGTGTGCAGAGTCCTTGTGTATGTTGAAGTGGACCAAGGGGGCCGAGAAGTTTGAATGACAGTTGATCAAATGAAGGAATAGCTGGAATGGGGACAGGCCGGAGTTGGAGGGATTGCCGATGGATGCAATACCCCCTCCACAGCCACTAGTGCGTGTGCGTGGTTGATCAATGTATGAAAATTCCTGTGGAGTGGCTTGGTTAAGTGAGAAATAGTCCAGGGGTTTTCGCCATGTGTAAGTGATGCAGAGTAAGTACAGTTGTGTGTCCGTGATGAATTCATTTAGTATTTGGCTTTTGTTGTTCAAAGATCTTGTGTTGAGGAGCGTGAGTTTGAGGGGCTTTTGTTGTGTAGGAGGTAATGCACTTGACATGCGTTCTGATGACGCGCAGAGTTGAAAGTGGAAGCAGAGTAGATGACAGTATAGTGCATGGAGCGATTATACCCAGACTCTCTGATTTTTATTCTGGGGGATTTTAATAAGGGAAACTCGAGCCAGAAATTACCCAAATACAGACAGTTTATCACATGCCTGGTCAGATAGGAGAAAACGCTAGATCACTGTTACGCCGCTGTATGCGGAGCTTATCGCGCTGTGCCCCGCACGGCTCTAGGCTTCCTGCATACAGACAGAGACTGAAGCTCTCAAAACCTATAGTGAGTAACTAAGGTGTGGTCTGACGAAGCTGTGAAAGAGCTGCATGCGTGCTTGGAATCCCTGCCCTTTATAAAGCCACTTTACTGCCCTTTATAAAGTCACTTTACTGCTCTTCATAAAGTCACTCTACTGCCCTTTATAAAGCCACTTACTGCCGTCATCTTACTGCACTGCTTAATGTAAGTTGTATATGAGTCCAATGAGTTCGCGGACGACACCACCCTCATTGGACTCATCTCCAACAACGATGAGTCCGCCTACAGGAGGGAGGTGGACCGGCTGGTGTCCTGGTGCAGTGGTAACAACCTGGAGCTGAACGCCCAGAAGACAGTGGAGATGATTGTGGACTTCAGGAAGAGCACTGTCCCCCCGCCCCCACCCTCCGTGATGGACTCCCCCATCACCTCTGTGGAGTCCTTCCGTTTCCTGGGCACCACCATCACCCAGGACCTCAAGTGGGAGCCGACCATCAGCTCCCTCATCAAGAAGGCCCAGCAGAGGATGTACTTCCTGCGGCAGCTCAGGAAAGCCAAGCTGCCTGCACAGATGTTGGTGCAGTTCTACACGGCCATCATCGAGTCCATCCTCACCTCCTCCATCACCGTGTGGTTCGCTGGAGCCACAGTCAGGGACAAACAGAGACTACAGCGCATTGTGCGCTCTGCAGAGGAAGTGATCGGCCGCAGCCTTCCATCGCTGCAGGACCTGTACGTCGCCCGAGCTCGAGGCCGGGCTGGTCGTATCACAGCCGACCCCTCTCACCCTGCACATGGACTATTCCAACCACTCCCCTCAGGCAGGAGGCTGCGGTCCATCAGGACTAGAACCTCCGGCCACAAGAGTTTCTTCCCCTCTGCTGTTGGACTCTTGAACACTTCTTAACCTGTCCCCCCGCCCTTTATAAAGTCACTTTACTGCCCATCATACGTCACTTTACTTCACTGTACTGCTGTCACCTTACATTGTGTGCACCATGTGCACTTGTATATTGTAAATAGTAACTGTAACTCTATTTTAAATTTAAATTTATTCTTTAGAAGTGTTTTTTATTCTTATTTTTATTATCTCTTTTTGACTGTTGCACTGAGCCAAAGCAATTTCCAAGTCTGTGACCTCCTGTTACTTACGTGGCAATAAAAATGATTCTGATTCTGATTCTGATTCTATATTGTGTACACCGAGTGCACTAGTATATAGTAATAATCATAATAATTTTACTTTTTAATTTTTTCTATTCTAGAAAATGTTATACTTTAGAAATGTTTACAAATAAATGCCTTATTCTTTCTCTACTTCTGACTTGATTGCACCGAGAGCCAAAGCAATTTCCAAGTCTTTGACTTCCTGATACTTAAATGGCAAAATGATTCTGATTCTAGTTTACAGTACGTACCATAGGAGAAGTCCCCCTGCTGGTACATCATCTGCGTTTGCACCTCGGAGCCATCATCCCGGCTGAAGGAGAAGCTGCGCGTGTTTTCGGGTCTGAACTGGTTTTTCCACGAGCCCCTGAAGTAGACAGCGTTGACTAGAGTCAGACGGGTCACACTGCTGAAGTCATCGGGTGAAAGCAACTCGCGGATTTTGCCTTGATAAAAGAGTGCACAAGGAATTACAAATAATTACAATGATATAACATGGAGCTTAGGTTAAATTAAACAATATGACCAAGTAATTATCTTAAATTCTTCTGCAATGCAAAACCCCTGTGCACTAGTGTTGAAAATTATCACCTGAGCTATAACACTTAGCAATGCATCTGGTTTGTCCAATGTTATTGTTATGTCCATATTAAAGAAGCTATACTAAAACATTTTCTAGGTAGTTGATAAAAATGCTTATTACTACATACAAGTTGTATTATAATCCGTAATTTAATTGAAAACTTGAGGTAATTGATTCAGCTGTGTAAGAATACAAGCAGTGAAAAGTGCTGAGTACAATCTGAGCGGGCCGCTCGTTCTCCTCCGCTCACAGAACGAGCAGCGAACAGCCTGCGTCCTCTAGCCCCTACAGCGCTGCTAAAAACTAGGGCTTTGGCTTCGAAATTCGAATATAATTCTAAAATAAATAAAAAAATATACATATATATATATATATATATATTCGAACACATATTAGACAGCCCTTACAAGCTCCCTGGAACTACATGTTAATGGTTTTTCGCAATCGCTTTTTGTCACATTAAAATTGGTCATGAAAACGATAACAGGAAATTCTGAAAACGTCCGTGCATGTGTGTTAAGGATGTATATGTATACTGTATTGTCCGATTAACATTCAATGGTGTTGATTGATAGATATGTAGAGCGTGGCTAGCGCTAGCTCCGCTAGCTTCTCTTGTTGTACTTACAAAGTAATGGCAGTATTTTACACACCTGAGCTGTATAATAAATTATAATTAAATATTCAAATATATTCTAATGTTCCAATGAATAAATTTGGGTGCGAAACTAGCAGTATTCTTTTACCTATATATTGTGTTAGCAGTCCATTGCTTTAGTACCATTTCATCAGTGATTGTTGTACAGCTTACAAGAAGTTGTGCTAATGCTAATGTTAGCATACATGTCAGATCGCAAATTGAACTAGAAGGCTCTTTGTTATGAGAGCGTAGGGGAAATGAGAAGCCATTGAGCAAGTTGGGGGGCGGTGCTAAACATTCAAACCTTGCAGAAACGGGTATAGCGCCTTTAAATTAATAAATAGATAAATAAGTAATACTCAAAATGTGTACAAGTACTTTAACAATCTTGCGCTTGTATTGAAACAGTTCTAGTTGATCGATTTCACGGTGTCGATGTCTTATGCACTCTGGGGACTTTTGAAAATGTATCCAACAAGGTTTTACTGCAAATGGCAAATAAAATTCATCTGAATCTGAAATAATATTTTAGGAATTTATATTGAGCTAGAGGTCAGATTCACTTCAGAATATCATGGCTATCATGGTCAAATAATGGATGGTTTCTGTGTATCTTTTCTGAATGGTTTAGATTAAAACTGAGGTACCTAATTTAAAAAAGTGAACATTTCAGAACACAACCTGTTGTCTTTTTAGAAGAAAAAAAATAGGGGTCACCACTATAGGGTGCTTTGGTCTGGGAGTGAGGATGGTCCTCTTTTTTCACTAAATCTGTGACAGAGGCCAAAAATACACTTGTGAAAACTTGTGATATAACCAAACTCCTTTGAGAGCGACAAATTACTATTATGTGGTTTCATTCTCTGTGGTTTGAAAGTTCCCCAGTTTTAGTCAATTGAAAGGATTTTTTGGTTTCAGTCCATATCTTTACTCTCAGTGTGGTTCTCGACCCAGTGGTTGATGAGCTGGGCGACTGCTGCTGACTGGTTGAAGTCCACAGTATCCACGTGCGCTCTGAAGTACTTCCTTATGAGGTGCACAAACTCTGGGCTGAAGGAGGCTCCCTGCTGCAGGTACAGGCTGTTGGCAAACCTCACCACATACTGAGCCTTGTCCTGTGACAGAGCCGAGGTTAAGTTCTGCAGCAGGGAGAACTCTAGTCCTGCAAAACAGTACAAAAACAAGCTCAACAATCACACTCGAGGTGAGAAATTTCACTTTTAACATAAAAGTACATAAACGTACGGAAGCTTATTGCATTCACTTGAATTAAAAGTTTCTGTTTTTATGAGTAAAGTTTCTGTTTTATGAGTAAAGTTTCGGTTTTTATGAGACAAATAAATCCTGTTTTTATTACTTAAAAGAAATTCTGTTTTTATGACTTTAAAAAAATCCTGTTTTTACGAGACAAATAAATCCTCTGTTTAATGACCTGACCAGTGTGATCAGCTTGATCATTCAACAGGCTTTATATCAACAAAGTAATACGAGCAAACATGCACTTTAAGGCAACTTCTTCAACTTCAAATCTGCTAGCCACAACCCTGACTCGTAGTTAGCCGTTAGCTTATCATACAGAACAGTCATGATCATAACACTCTCCTTCCAGCCATACAGCCAAGTGTTTCCATGAGTTAGTACAGGGGTCGGCAACTCAAAAAGTTCAAAGAGCCATATTTGAGCAAAAATAAAAAAAACAAATCTGTCTGGAGCCGCATAAACTTTACTGCCTTTTTTAAGGTTTATATGAAAGCAACACAGGCTGTAAGCTGTATTAGCCTACTATCAAAATGAGTAAGTATAGGCTACAAATACATAATATGCATTCATGATTATTATATATATATATACATTTTCACTGTAGTGCAAGAGAGTGACGCACCATGTGACTACTCTGCTATACCATATATGCTTTAAGTTTAACTTTCCTTTTGTTGCGTTCATGCAATTGTAGAAATACAGTAAATACATCTGTTTTTGGCTCAGTTCTCATACCTGCATTACAGCACTTTCTGTTCATATCGATCACGTCACACGTCGTCACACGGCTGGAGTTTGCTGGAGCTGAATGTCCCGAACGGTGTTTCGCACTTTTTTGTTCCTCGTGTTGCAACAAAATTCAGGCGTAGAAGTTTGGAGATGAATCCTCCAGAATAACTGCGATCGCACTGTTTCTCTCCAAACTGGGGTCAGCAGCCGATTTTCCACATGACTCTTTTTGTTCTTCAATATATTCTCATTACAAAGCAAACATGAAGCAGTCCTTCCTCATTGACTCAATGAGAGCCAAATGTTACAGTCCATTTGTCCTTGAGTTCCTGGTTCTTATCAAGTATTTCCCTTTTTAGCTTTGGGATTTATGCGGACTCATGTGGCACATGCTGGTTTGTTTACAACAGCGGCCGCCCGGCGCGGGGCCGCGTAACCGCGCGTCGCAGGATATGACGCAGATCTCAGATGACACAAATGTTAAAATTAAATATTTCTTATGCACATTTTTACTGCATTGGAAAACATTAAGAATGTTGTCCTTCCTACAGAAACCACATTGAAACTAAAAATAAAATATACCCTTCCCACTCCATTTTCGGACATTTTTGAAAAGGCTCCAGGAGCCACTCAAGGGGCACTAAAGAGCCGCATGCGGCTCCGGAGCCGCGGGTTGCCGACCCCTGAGTTAGTACAACCACGGTCCCCACAGAATGTCCCAGATCCCTGTAGAACATCATAGAATGATCCTCTCTCTATCTGCAGTTGTGTGAGCTAACCGGGTGTCAAGAACAGCACAGTGCTTCAATGGCTGCGCCCGTGGATTCCCCCAAAAAACTTGTCCATTGCATCAAGCTGATCCCACTGGTCAGGTCATTAAACAGAGGATTTATTTGTCTCGTAAAAACAGGATTTATTTGTCTCGTATAAACAGGAATTTTTTAAAGTCACAAAAATAGGAATTTTTTAAAGTAATAAAAACAGGATTTATTTGTCTCATAAAAACCGAAACTTTACTCATAAAAACCAAAACTTTACTCATAAAAACATAAACTTTTTTAATTCAAGTGAATGCAATAAGCTTCCGTATAAACATGATTAATACAAAAGTTATTCTCTAAATATTACAACTAGTTCTCTGAGCCAATAAAACAACTAGTGGCTTGAAAAAAGTAGACATACTAGGGATGTACCGATCCAGATTTTTTGTAATCCGATCCGATATTCTTAAATACTGTTTTGCCAATACCGATCCAATACGATCCAATTTTTTCTAATATTTTCAAAGCATTAAAGATTTTGCAACCAGTATTACTTTAAATTGTTTTTTTTTATTAAAACATGACCAACAATATTGTTTGGCTTTTGCTTAACAGACCTATTGAGTTAGGGCATAGGTAAGTATCACATCACTATTGAATATTTCACCTTTATCATCCACTTAACCTGAAAGAAATATCAAAGAGGAACAATTATAAAAAAGCTGCCCTCAACATTCAGTAAAACAAAAGGAAAAGAGCTGGTACATAAGTACTAAGCTAGTACTTAACCAGTGTGCAAACTCCGTAAATGTAAACTCTCCGATAGCAAAAATCTTCAACTACAACAATGCATTTGAGCTACATTTAACCTTAAATCAACTCAAAACAATGATAAAAAATAGAGGAAGGTACTCCTTCTTTTAATTGCTGGTGCAGCAGCAGCAACAATTCACCAAGCATACAGAATCTTATTCCAAATACAAAATTCAAAAGGTGAGTACATTGTATTTAGTTTACGGCAGCCCTGAAAAGTGACGTAAATCGGCTTCATATTTAACAAATCCGATATTATCCGATCCTTACAAAATACCCATATCGGCCCCCGATACCGATACTGAATATAGGATCGGTACATCCCTAATACATACCCTAAACATTTCCCCCCCAATTTGTCATGTCACGGCCACAAGTACTTCCACTGGCCTCTGATCAGTGCTGTCCTTGTTTGAGCTGTTACGTTTTGGTTGGCTTGCAGTTGTGCTAATAGCCATCTTTCCAATCCCAAATAATGGTTTAAACGGTGCACCTCTCCGTAACACCTCTATGTAACTTCATCTCTGGCCTCTCTGGTGTGCTCCTTGGACTTCAGAATGCCATTTAGTGACCACTATTGTGTTATCAAACCTGAGGCCATCACAGAACAGTTGTAATAATACTGAGATTCAACTCTGGTGGACTCTACTTAAAGGTATATAGGAGCATTTTGTACTTCCGGTTGCATCATCAAGACGGTTCTCCAAATGGTCATTCTGGTGATACGTGCTCGTGAAGTAAGACCACATTGTTGTTCAAAAAGTGGAGAGGGCGGTTCTTTCCTAACATTTTGGAAAACCCTCCAATATACCTTTAATTGTTAAAGTGAATCATGTGAATTAAAGTGAATCTGAACTGACGCAATCCACGTGCTTGGATTTAGATTGACAGTGAGTATTGGATAATCTACTTGAAAACTACTATTATGATTTCCTAGTATAACACATATAAAAAATGTTGTGGTTTGAAAATGTTCTTCCCCAGCTTTCAGTTGGAGCTACCCCTCCTCACCTGGCACCAGCTGACCAAACCCTAGTGCCTGTCTGATCTCCTGGAGGGTGTCGCCGTGGGCCCCCAGCTCCACCATGCCCAGGGCCATGGCTACACTCAGGGGGGAGAAGATGATGTTGTCCTGGCTGTCCCTGGCCTGCAGGTGCTGGTAAAGTCTCACTGAAAACTCTGCCGTGATGTCCTCTGGAATGTCTGCCGCCCCACAAGCGTCATCCGGCAACAAAATGGCAAGGAAGAGGAGCAGCAGGAGCGAGGGCACTGTGATGGACATCTCAGCACGTGGAGCTGACTGTGTGGAGCGAGAGTGGGGACAGGGCATTAATCAGGAGGGAGAGAAAGAGGGAGAGAAAGAGGACGGGCTGACTGATGGACTGATATAGCGTTCACACTCACAAGATTATTATGTCAAAGAAAGAGGGCAAGAGGGTTTTTGAAAGTGGACTCTAAAAGAAGGAGAAGTGGAGGAGAGAAAACACAAGTTAATTGTTGAGCAATGGGCCAAGTACTACTGAAGGAAGATGAGGATGTCGAGTGTAGCCATGGAGAGCACAGTCGGTACAGAGGGTTTAGTACAATATGTTGTCTCGCTTGCTCCATTTTCAACCAAAACAAGGATTTATGACCAGATTTATAACCAGGTTGAAACTGCTTTGGAAAGATTACTTTTCTTTATAAGTGGTCTCTAATCTCCCAGTGTAATCCCAATTCTCATAGAGGAAAGATGGGCAGTTGACATTTGCACAATTGAAAGGTGACGTCATGTGCTTTAATCCAGGCATGCCATTTACACCGGATACCCACGCATAGTGTGCTACATGGAGTACACACACTCCTGTCTCAAATTATAATTGGAAAACACTACTCATATGTAAAAACACGCAGCGCAAAGAGACAGTTTGAAGTTTGTAGCCAGGAATACAAATGCAGGGCTCGGCATTAACGGTTGTCCGCTTGCCCGGGTCAACTAAAGATTTGGGACTGACTAGTGCGCTGTCGTAGCAAGTGATGACACGTCTGATTTTTTGACCAATGAAATGCATCAGGATATACAGTGCATCCGGAAAGTATTCACAGCGCTTCACTTTTTCCACATATTGTTACAGCCTTATTCCAAAATGGATTCAATTCATTTTTTTCCTCACAATTCTACACACAACACCCCATAATGACAATATGAAAATAGTTTTTTTGAGATTCTTGCAAATGTATAAAAAATAAAAATAAATAAGAAACCACAAGTACATAAGTATTCCAAAGTATATACTTTTGTGGCAGCCAGTTTTGGTAAACTTTTTTTTTTTTTTTACAACTTTTCGCCTAGATAGAGAGATATTGATCCCAGAAGGAGAAATTCAGGTGTCCAGTAGCAGCAAAAACACATCCTTCCACACAAACAAAACAAATAAATTGATCATTCCAAAAGCTAACAATAGTAATAATAAAATGCAACAGCACTTCAGGTTACAGCAGCAGAGGTGGAGAAGCCGCTGATAGACCATGCCTCATAATCATATTTATGAGGCATGGTCACTTGTATTAAAGGCACACCGTGTAACTCTTGGCCACTAGGGGCGCTAGACCTGCAACTTTCACGTTTAGCGCCCCTAGTGGCCACAAGCAACTCAGCACTGTCGCAAAAGTCAACAAACAGTCAGCCGGTGCCTTTTGAGTGTGTATTCAGACAGCATGCACTGGTGTGTGTGTTCAAACTGTAGAGACATGCCTACAGATATTGAGAGACTCTGCTGTGGTCAGCCTCCAGACCGCTGCATTAGTAATCTACCACACATGGACTTCTATATCCTGGATGAGGGAGTTCTGCGTCTAGCTCGTGCTGCGTGGAATGACATCTTTGCAGTCGATGACATCCAGGAACCAGGTGAAGAGCAGCGCTCATACAGACATGCAGCTTACAGCACGATCCCTTTCGCGTTTCCTCTTTTTAGCCTCCTCCGAAGGTTTAAAATTTTTCCTTGCCTCAGCCATGACCAGGAGTCGAGCAGGTGAAAAATGAGTAGCAAAAGCCTTAGCTCCATGAGTATATCAGCGCCTGTAGCCGTAAAGCAAGTCTTTCTTCCAAGTCACGTGACCTGGTGGCAGACGGTCCGTCTGCTCGAAACTTACATGGGCGGTATTTCAAGAGGGCAGCCCCGCTCGGAGCATTGCAAGTGTCAAGCGCTGTATATTGGCCCAAGTATTCATATAAAATAACTCATATGTGTCAACTCTTTAGGTCACAAAGTCCGCGGTGTGCCTTTAAAGTTTACATCTACAGTTGAGGTATGTTGTTTTGAAATTTAGTGCAAATTACCGAAAATAGATTGCACAACCTATTTTGCTACAAACATGTTGAGGACCAACAGCTGAGAGTTGCTTTTATTCACAACACTGCGACATGTGGCTGTAGAATATTTAGAACAAAGTCCTGACAGACTGGCACTTGTGTGAAGCTGAGCTATAATAAGATCAGAACATACACACCTTACCATCATGCTGATGCTGTGGTTGCTTAGCAACATTGTTCCCGTTCTGAGCTGAACAGACTGAGTGACAAACTTCCACAGAGCATCTTCTGTGCCTGTTAATCACTTCCTTTCCCTCTCCCTGAGGTGGAGTGGGTTTAAAGCAGAGGCAGGCAGAACCTGCTGGCTGCTTTTGCGCACCCCACACTCTGACAATGTCCCAACAACAACCAAAAACAAAGAGCGGCAGGAAGAATGTGTGCAGCTCTGCCCTGTGCTGCCTTGTGCCCTCACTGCAATAGGCCGCACCCATACATTATTGTTTTCTGGGGCTTCAGAGTCAGACGGTGGAACAGGTGTCATTTGACAGTACTGTACTAGGGAAATATACTGTTACTGACAGAATACAGTATGCTAGTACAGCAGAAAACATTGCAGTTTACTATGGCATGGATTATCCATCAAGTGTTACTTGTCAGATGTTTGAACCGCAGTGCCTAGAGGAAACCAACCCAGACACAGAGAGAAACATGCAAGCTCTAATTCTAAGCAGCCAATACAAAGTCAAGTCACCAATGTTTTAACACAGTCACCAAGCCATCAGTAGTGCCCTTTGAAAGCAATCGAATGTGACAGCACTAGAGCTGCAACTAACGATTATTTTGTAATCGATTAATCTTGTAATCGATTAATCTATCGATTATTTTTACGATTAATCGAGTAATCGCTTGGCTGTGAATTGTGTAGAAAAAAATTATTTTTTCATCACAAAAAGCTAAAGTGGCAACACTCGAGGACGTATTGATGGCGTAAACTTAAAGTAAATGTTTGTAACAGGCTCTTTGTGCTGATTCTGCTATCTGATTGGATGAGACAGACAGATATTCATGAAATTATAAAAACAAGTCGGTTTTAATCAAAAATACTACATTTTCATGTCATTTTTGCTCTGTTTGAGTCCGTGTGAACCAGAAAACGATTAATCGATTACTAAAATAGTTGTCGACTATTTCAATAATCGATTAGTCGTCGATTAATCGATTAGTTGTTTCAGCCCTAGACAGCAGCCTCTCCAGTGGTTACTCTCCATGCACGTAAACAGTCAGCACACTGGTTACCCACAGAGACATTAGCATTCAAGCAAACCTATGGCTCCTGGAAAATAAAATACAAGCAATAATCTCCTCTAAACAGGCAAGGCAAGGCAAGTTTATTTGTATAGCACAATTCATACACAAGGCAACTCAAAGTGCTGAACAAGATAGCATTAAAATCATAAATAATCACAGAACATTAAAACGAAAGATAAAAATATAAAATCCCTCAGTTGTATGCACAGCTAAACAGCACCGTTTTTAACTTGGTTTTAAACATTGTCAGAGAGGAGGCCTGTCTCACATCTTCAGGAAGATTGTTCCAGATTTTAGCAGCATGAATCTGAAAAGCAGCCTCCCCATTAGGGATGTAAATTGGCGACCGTTTAACCCAGTGTTTTTCAACCTTTTTTGAGCCAAGGCACACTTTTTTCACTGAAGAAATCTTGCGGCACACCTCCAGGAGAAAATGTAAAAATGTATACAGTACTAATGTAAAAAAATATATACTGTACATACTCTGTGTGATATATAAAGTATATCTTATACTGTATAATGTATACAGTATACTCTGTAGCCTATATTCACAATATACAGTTATTCTCATCAAAATGCTTAAGTCCAGGCCTTGACATTAAGCTTTATTTAATATTTCTCGATATAATTAACAAGAGTTTGGGAATAAAGTGGCACTAACTGTGTGGAAAAAAACTAAGAAAATCCACTCTCTGCCCAAATAGTCAAATAATAACTCACACAAAGAACATGCATTGTTAGTGCATGGGAAAAATTTAGGTATCCGAGCTTTAAATTCAGGAGTTTTGGATGAGGGACACGGGAGGTCCTGAACGCGAGTCCATGGTTCTGTCCGGTCCGCATGTCTGTGGTTCTGTCCACTCGACTACGGTCTGCGCTCGGTACCCAGTTCAGAAGTGCGTTCGCGAGAGCTGTTGCACAAAAATTGTACATTTCATAGTTAAACCACTACAACACGGCCACAGCTGCCCCGGGGCAGAGCGGAGGATGTTAATCCTGTTCAGAAACGGCATAATTCATTTTCAAAAACGTCTCTATCACTTTCACTTCTCACTCGCCACAAAGCTCTTGTCTCGCTCCCTCCCACATTTGTTGGTCGCATCCAATTTTACCTTTCTCGCCACAATGCTGACCTGTTACAGCCAGTGGTCCATCCAATTTTTCAGTTTCAAAGTACTTAGCTATCTGCTGCCATCTACTGATTTGAAAAAGTCTTACATGGTTACTCCACAGTTCAAAACAAGTCACCGCTCGTCAACAGCGAATGCAGTTATTTTTAGACAAAGTAGACGGATTTCTCACGGCACACCAGACAATATCATACGGCACACTAGTGTGCCGCGGCACAGTGGTTGAAAAACACTGGTTTAACCGGTGGTTGACCGTCACAGCGTTAACCGGTCAAAGCTGTCGGTTAAAAAAGAGAAAACGGGGAGAGGGGAGGTCTCTTAATAACGCTATTTTAAGCCCTATTTGCACGGTGTCTAGCTGTGTGCGCCCATGTATTATAAACTCCGGGACGACTCTCACGCCGCACGAGCCACATATGCACACACGCATGCGCACACACACACACACGCATGCGCGCACACACACACACACACACACTTTCCCCCTCTCCATACGTAACATCCACACGCATCATCTCTCCCCTCTGTTACCGTCAAAGTTGCACACTGGCGCGGGTCAGAACTACA